GTCATTTACGTGTGAAGAGAGGATTTATTGTTATTCAGTTATTTTGCTTTCGCTGATAAAAATATGAAAAGCCAATGTAGAAATCATTTATTCTTTAGTCTTAACTTCTTTAAGCCGTAAACAACCTGTTGATTTATTGAGCGTAAACTTATTTGTCAAGTCATAATTGTATTTAGTCTTCAAACTGTAATCAATCTGTAAGAAGCCGTTATCCACCTGTGTAGCCTTTGAAAGTAATTAATGTTTCAAAGCAAGCTTAGCTTTCCACCAATTGTCTTGTAGAAATGATTGTTGTGCTCTGTAAATTGACTCGTTGAGGTTGTGATGTACTAAGATTTGTATCGTTTCGCTAGGTTAGGCTTAAATACGAGTGCTTTGTAGGAACTTCTTCGGTTACATCCAGGTCCATCTAGTCTGGTTACGTCCTGGTTACATCGTCGTTGCATCTAGTCTTGGTTAAATTTTGGTTGGTTATGTTTTAACAGTACCCGCAGCATAGTCTTGGATTAAACCTCTACATTGGAGGCAAGTTCTGTTGTAATCATTGTCCCAAGGGTATTCAGCAAGCGTAAGAGATCCCGTGCCTTCCCGCAGCCAGCGAGTGTCCCCAGGAAAAGGCCTTTCCCAGAGAGTTTTAGAGTTTTTCCCCGTCCGTCAGTTTACCCTTTTGTGAAGGCAAAACCTGTTTCCACACTGGTGTTTAAGTGAAAAAACGTGTTTTCACATACGATTAATAATTATGTCAAACATATTCGTGAAAACCTAGTTAATAATCGTGAAATTTACGACTATTAACTATGTTTGGCAGGCTTCGTAGTTATTAATCGTAAGGTTGTTAATTTGTATGGGTAATAGCATGATTTGTAGTTATATTTAGCATAAATACCACGAGTGATATTTCGAAATTGTTATACGTAATTTCACCGGAGCCGTTAGGCGAGTGAAATTTGAGACAATGTTGAAATACCACGAGTGGTATTTATGCCAAATATTACGTACAAATCCTTTCTATTAATTGTTTATACTATTACCCGCAAAAGGTTTCTAATTTTCACATGTAGGTATTTCAAATTAAGCTGAAACACCACTGCTCTATAGTATAACTCCAGTAAAGCTAACTCAAAAGCTAACGGCCGCCATTAATTACAGAAAAGAAAACAAACTCAAAGTCTTTTTTTCAAGGTCCCTGTTTTCACAAAAATACATCACAGAAAACTTTTCGAGAGGTCAAAGTTTCCATTCAGCTTCTTTTTTGATCGATTTTTTGTCTAAGAAAGCTAGTTTCTTTCGCTCTATTTTTTCTATAAGCTGACATCGCGAGCGGGCGGCGTCTATGAGTTTGCTGTGCACGAAATTATGATAACCGATATTTTTCAGTTCAAATTACTCTTCCTTTGAATTTTAACTTGGAGAGAGACATCTTAATCCTTCCCAAATGTAACTACAATGAATTAGTTCAGAATAACTCACTATCGCAGTTTTTTTCTTGCTTAAATCTTTGACAATTTTAACGCGTTGTTGGTAAATACTGGCGTGAATTACACTTGCCGTGAGAAATTTTATTATTAATGTTGACCACATTCCTGGACAAAATAATGTTTTTCAATTTTAGTTTAACTCAAAAGCTTTCACTATTTTTTCATTGCCAGACGGACACGCATGATTTTTTTCACCTAAAAATAAAACAGTCAGCACAATGACATTTAACTTCTTGAGAGATTAAAGGAGATCTCAAAGGTTATTTCTGTTGGTGTAGAAGGTAAAAAGTTTTCGAAAAGACAGCGACACGATGTTCTACTTGTTTTATTATTTTGGCTAGGCGCGCTCGAATTTAAAATACTGAAATTTCTATTTTTCTGTTGCCTTAATATTTTCATAAAATCAAAAATATGAATTTTCTGAATTTCCATGGCACATATTGAGGCATATTTTCCTACCATAAGACCATAAAACAATAAAAAAGACAGCAAAATCGATCCTTCTCTCCGCCGACGGCGGATCATTCACGAAAACAACCACGCTGGGAATAAGCGCTTTCAACTTCCGGCGTTTCCGATAGCCAATCAGATCTTGTGGCATTGTTCCAACGGCCAATTAGCGTTACGGCCAAAATCTGGCCGTAACGAGCACAAACATGAGAGAGTTTGTATCAGGCCCAATTTTAGCGGTAGCCGTTCGAGAGAATGTATAAGAACCGCTAAAATTGGGCCTGATCTCAGGTTAAAATTTATTCAATTCCATTCTTGTCCAGTATTCTCTTCCATAGCGCAGCTCCTAAGGTACTGTGGGAAAAGCCAGAAGCATATAACCCTGGAAAAGGTCATTTCTAGGCGATGCAAAGAGCTGGAAACCGACCCTGATTCGTGTCCCTTGGTTTGGGCGCCATGTTGAAAATTTGGGTGACGTCATCATACTACAGTACCAGCCACTATTTCACCTGGTCCACAAACCCGCTTTTCAAGTTAAGCATATAGTGACAAGAACAACATGCAGTGACAAGAACAACATGCACACTTAGCCTACAGTAATTAGAAGCTCAAGTAACAGGTTTTGGTTTGACAGAAAACGTATTTATCTTAGGATCACTGTCACCCCATGTAAGGGAATCCGAAATCTGGGAAATTTTTCTCTTGGAATCTGGAATAAAGGTCAAGTACTCTGAATCCCACTTATAATTGGAATCCGGAATCCAGTTCCACTGATAAAGAATCGAGAATGCAGTATCCATGGCGCAGAATTGAGAATCCAAGACTGTCAGATTTCCTTGCATGGGCTTATCACTGTTTTCAACTTGATAAAATAAAAGACATCATGTGCTTTCATTATTTTATTTTGCAACTAGATAGAATTCCTACAAGCTTCAATATATTAATATGCAAGTTTTTCATTTCTGAAAAAAGGAAACAGTTTATTTTCCCAATGTCTCTGTATTTAGCTGTATTTTACTGCCAATGAAATGAGCAAATAATAATAAATTATCATTATTGTGACACTAAAAACTGACTAAATGAAAAGTCAGGATTAAAAATATCAAATGATTGCGACACTATGTTTGGCTTCAATTTTTAGTTTTGTTTCGACATCCGCCTCTCTCGCTCCTCATCCACCTTCAAAATGACAGTGGAAAAAATTAAAAGAAGGCCAGGTTAAGCCCATGCATGTTACGATCAAATGAAAAAAATGTTTCACTGGACAAAAAACTGCTGAGACATAGCGCAGATTATGTAGGATTTCCGTATAACCCTACACATCAATAATATTATGCATACAACTTTTGTTCAAAGAAAACAAAAGGCAGAACAATACTAAACCCTTGCAAACGGTTGCAAACGGACAGCTAAATTTATTGATAAGCTGACGCCTTGCAAGTATTCTTTGACAAATCAAATCGGGAATTAAAGAAACAAATCTTTAGTAATTTAGAACACACAAACCAAATAGCACGAGCAACATAAACACCTCTACGCGTTATAATATTCCCAGCGATTGTCATCTCAGATATCATTATATTCGGAGAGTAAAAAATGACAAAACTCAGACAAAAATTGCAAATTAGTCTCTTTGATGTCATTCGCGCGCTGCGCTGCGTACATATATACTATTTAAATAGCTATTCAGGTTGTCAGTTTCATGCAACACTAGCTTAATTCATTCACGTATGTAGCAAGAACCTTTGAAGCATATCTCCGCGAAAAGTCTTATCCGCGTGTAAGGTAAGGCCATTTCACAGGCGCCGGCCATTTACAATTTTTTCTGCCATCATTTTATACATAAAATCATTATCATTTAGTTTTACTCTTTGAGAGGAATGGTTTACAAAACATGGTGCTAACTCCACGTTAGTGTCGTCTAGTGCAAACAAGCCCCACATGTTTTCAGTAAGCTACCTAAGAAGTGGACCAGTTCTTTCATGAACTGACTTACACATTCTTAGTGCTCGTCTTCATCTTTGAGTTGCGGGATTTCATCAGGGGCACCCAACGTCAATTTTCGGAAAACTATCTGTTCGGAAGACGATTTGAGATCTAGAATTTTCGGAACATTTGCTGTAAAATTTCTTGCTTGCCTGCCTCTCCTAGGATTTTCGAACACCTAAAAAACTGTATAATTGCCAATTTTTAACGGATTTTTACCATAAAAAGGTCACCTAGAATTTTCGGGAGCCTTTTTCTGGCTGAAATTGTCGAAAAGGTAAGTTTTGATCCCTATAATTTTCGGATCACTAGACTTTCAGCTACGACATCAGAACAGGTGAAAAATTTTTAGGGGATAAAAATATACGTATATCTACCTTTTAAATACTGAAATACGTTTAACAATACTATGTTTAAGTTGTTTTGAACTATATTCTCGTTGGGTGCCCCTGTTTCATGCCCTGATTTGCCAATTCAACGATGTATTTCGTGCGGCTGCGAACAAGAATTGTTTGGAGCAAAGCACTCACAAACCAGCTGACAAATGTAGAGACTGGACGAGCTAGGAGGAATTATGTAGCAACAAAGCTTTCTTCGATATGTGGTCATATCATATCATGTCATATGTTGTTCATTGCAAATTGTGGATAGCAGTAT